AGTAATTCTTGGCAATTACACCTGCATGATATTTTCAATCCTTTTTGTAAGACATGTACATTGTGGTATCAATAAGGATGCTGAACTGGGAGCTAATAACCTTGGTAATCATTTTGATACTCATGTAACCAGTATACTCAGTCTGAATTCATCTGGATACAAACATAACACCAAATATCCCCATAAAAATCAACAAATCAATCAATTCATCCATTGAACATGAACATTAAGGAAAGCCAGATGTATGAACCTGGTGACATGAGTATCATAATGACTACCAAGGTAATGAGTAGATATGGTCTATCAGTGTGAGGGGCAGAATGGAGAGAAGAAAGCAAGCTGAGGACTCCCTGAGGTCTGTAAAGGCTCTACTTTTCTATCAACCACAAACCAGGATAAGAGTGTTAGGCAATTAGGTAGACAAGTAGCAATAACTTACTGTCCATGACCTTGTATTAATCACTTGAGTATTAATAATTTTGAAACAATTTTGGAAACTTCTTGTAATTCACCTCTGGAGTGGATTTTCTGTTTGCTCTGGTCCTTGGCAGTAGCTGAGGAGTGGAATTTATGGCCCTCCTTATCAGTACTTTACAGAGCAAATCATGCCCAGGGGATTCTGTCGTCCCAATTTTGAATCAAGAGGAAGTCAACATCTCCATGGCTTTGAGGGTTGGATTCTGTCAGAATGCAGTGAATGGAAGACTGTTAGATCATTTCTATTTATTTAAAATTCAAAGCCAGACATAATATAATAAGAGGAACTTGATAAGTTAATTTTTGCCTCCTTTTTGCCTCCTAGGAAAGCATTGTCTTAGAACCTGACTCACCTGATTTTGCTAATGAGTCAACTTCAAAGTGTGCCTCATTCCGGAAAGTGAATCATGTAATCACAGTAAGTTATGCGTATAACAGGCATAGATGGTTCCTTCGTGCTATATTTAAGCCAGTGTTGTACCGCCTTTTCTGTCTGTAATTCCTCACATTTGTCAGATTAGGTCAGTATAAAGGGCTGTACTTTTTTTTGACAAGGACATAGTTTCCATGTTAGCTTCTTTTGCCCTTAACTGCTATTTTGAAGATAAAGTTTAATTTTCCAGGCTTTAGATTGAAGAAAAACTCAATTTGCAGTTAGCTTTAAGTGGCTACGATGTTATGACATACTTCTATTGAGAAATATAAAGATAATACCTGTGACTGACATTAGTATTTTCATGGCTTTGTGTGCAGGTTACATGTGTGTTATACAATGTCTGTAATGCCACTAGACCAGGCTCCATTTATTCTGCTTTTATTTGTGTTAGTCTGTTTTGTCTTGCTATCCAGGAAGACCTGAGGGTCATTTAAAAAGAAAAGAGGCTTGTTTGGCTCACAGTTCTGCAGGCTATATAAGCATGGCACCAGCATCTGCTTGGCTTCTGGGGAGGCCCCTGGAAGCTTCCAATCATGGTGGAAGGTGAAGGGAAGGCAGGTAAGTCACATGTTGGGAAAAGAAGCAAGGAGGGGAAGGAGGCACTAGACTCTTTTAAACAACCAGCTCTCACATGAACTAATAGAGCAGGAACTCAGTTCCACAGGGAATTCATGAGGGCTCCACCCTCCTGACCAAAAAGCTTCCCACCAGGCCCCGCCTCCAACACTGGGGGTCACATTTCAATGAAATTTTGAGTTATGATTGATTACATTAATGAATTTCCACTATTTTACTGGTTGCGCTTAGAATAGAAGTTCAAGGATTTTAATATTAGCCTATAGCCCATGTTAACTTGGAACAGAACCGAGCCTTTAGTATCAACCAAACTACCAGGCAACATGTGACTTTTTTTTTTTTTTTTTTACATGGCAGAATATACTTCATTGTATTTCATGGTCTGCAGACATTTTTTGGAATAGAACACTGAAAATTTTTATTTGTGTATCATGTAAATATTTAAATTGTTTAAGCATATTTTGATATCATACACTTCATAAATATACACAAAGTTGTAATTGTTAAAAATGTTAGGTAAAAAATAAACATAAATTGCAGTTATGATCTTTTCTTTTTGTCTACCCTTTGGGGGTTGTGCTCTCTATTTGGACTTCTCAGCCAAGGTCACAAAATCACGATTAGATCCACCTTTATCCAACTAGGGAAATAAAAACAAAACCAGTATTATTGTTCTAGAAGGAATTATTCTGAGTTTTTTGTCCAACTACTTGCTTTTTAGGCACAATTAGGAGATTGTTTTTAAGATAATATTAATAATGTGTTTTTCAACGTTCTAAATGTTAAAGAACTCACTCAATCATGTGTCAGAGATAATGACCCCAGATAACTGGAAAAGCATATAAGTGAGGACATGACTGTGATTCATTTCCCCTGTGTGGTCACTGTCTGACTCTGTGGAATCAAGTTTTCACTTGAGAGCCAGGGGTGTCTGGGACCTGGGAAGAATGCACCCCTGCCCAGGATACCCATTTTGTCAGTCACATACCCAAAACCAAGGGTGTGCGAGTGACGACTAAGGCCAAGATTGGAACCTACTCATAGGAGAAGCTTCATTTGGTCCTTCTCCAGCAGTGCCAATATAGTCACTTCTAATCAGCAATTTGAGGAATGGAAGGGCATATTCAGTTTTTCTGTGCTGGTAATTTGAAAACAGCTTGATAACAGCTTGTTCAAATGAGGAATGGATAGAACATCAGTTTAAATCAACTCTGAGAGACAGAGGCAAAACTTTTGTGTGCCCGGTATTCCCATTGGCTAACCCTGTGCCTAAACCTCCATACCAAGGCTTCTGAGAGCTTTTGTCCAAATGCCCAGTGGGAGGGCATGGTCCTGTTGGGAATGTTTTTTCTGCCTGGAGATAGCTTTTGTTTAAAATCTTTCTGTTCTCTGAGGTTTTTACTTCCCCACCTATCCAGAAAGAATTTTCCACAATTTTTGGTATTGAAACATTTTACAGTGTTTCACTGACATTATTTCATTTGATGTTCATAATCCTTCAAGATAAATAGGGTAGGTTGTTGGAGTCCACATATTATGGATAATGAATCAGGGATTCAGAGAGGATATATCTGACTTCTACTCCAAATAAAAGACAGGAAAATGATAGCAGCGGAAGTATATTTCCTTCTAGTTTTTAGCATATCTAGATTAATTCTGGTTTATATTTAATTTCAGCTGAATATGTTATGCCTCCTCTATTGCTGTCTTGGGGTTCATTTAGGTGAAGCCACCTAGATATCATATATGCATATACATACATACATCATATGCCTTGGCTGCATTTACATTTCACCCCTCCTGCTTCCCCAAGTATAATCACCCCAGTGCCATGAAGCAGATGATAAGAAAATGAAGTGTTCAGTGTCATCTTACTTTAAGAAGCCCCTTTAATATGAAGCTCTTGACTTAGTGTTGCCTCAGAACATCACAGAGAATGCTTTGGTACCTTATGGAGGAACTGCAGGAACTGTGCACCATCTTTCTTACCATAGTCACAAGGATAAAACTGGCAGCTTAGGAGACCAGTCAGCTAAGTGAGATATGTCATCTGACAAACAGCTTAAATGCTCTTGGATCATTTTTGCTCTACTTTATCAAGCAGCTTTAGTTTGGGGAAAGTGAATGGTCTTCCATTTTGCTTCCTTACTCAAGATTTCTCTGTCTCTGTCTTCTTAGGCATTTGTTTCTTTATGCCTGGATCTGCCACTTTACATTTTGCCTCTTTTTCTATATCTACCTCTGACTTTATCTTCACTTCTTTCTCTCTCCCTTTATTTTCTTTATTTTTGGTTTCTCCCTGTCATTTTCTCTTATATTGTCTGTCATACCGACTCTATAGACACATAATTATCACTAACAGATTAAAGAGCTTTATAAATGATGAAGAAATTTGTAACAAGTTTCTTAAAGAACCTTTGAATCATTGTGTGTGTGTGTGTGTGTGTGTGTGTGTGTGTGTGTGTGTGAGATAGAGAGAGAGAGAGAGTATTAATTAACCTTGGATTTCCTCATTCCTAATCCCCAAATGTGAGTTGCAGAACTGGGATTTGAACCTTCAGCAAGTCAGAGACCATCTGCTCTGTAGCAGCACCACACCACATTGCCTCCCTCCTTCTCCTCAAATGTATAACTGAAATATTATTGTATCTTACTCTTAGTACCTCCCCTGTATAAATGCGCTCATGCATTTCTTTTCAAATAATTGCATTTCTAGATACATTTGCATAAATAGGATTAGAATCTTGAAAAAGTGTATTTTTTCCAAAGGGTGTCTGCGCAGAAGGCCAGCAGGTGTCAGTCTCACCCAGTAGAAGAGCTGAGAATAGTTTCATTGTGCTTTTTTCTTTATGGGAGTTTGCTTTTTTGAATGAACTTTCAAATAACCCAAGTTAAGTTCTTGTTTGTTTTAAGCAAACTCTGGGTTGATTTGAAGAGAAAGTAGACCATCTCAACCTCATACCACCCCACACCTGGAGTTGTATACTGATTATTCTCTTGTTAAAAACCCAGCTATTGAATTGGGATATACTTTTATTATTGCTGGGCACCTGGGCATCATTTAATAGGTGCTTAAAAATTGTTTGTAATTGTATGGTGATTGAGTCATGACAGAGAAGCATCCCTTTGGATGTGTGCAGCAGTATCCTACCACCTGGAATTTTGGAGTTAGTCATCATCTGTACCAACCACACATTCTCCCACTCCATTTCCAGCTGAGGAAACAGGTTCAGAAAAGATTTGTTCAAAGATTCACAGCTGTGGGGAAAAGGGTCAGCATTAGGGCTGAAATCAAGAGACCCAGTGGCTGAGTCTTCAATGAGGATGTTCAGATTGAGGGAACAAAAGCAACATCAGGCCCCAGTGCGCTGTCAGGATCTGCACAGGTTCACAAGTGATTATCTTCAATGTAATCCCCATAGCAACGTAGCAAAGTGTCTGCTGTAGCTGGATAAGAATGATGATTATGCTAGAGAAAGAAAGAAACTCCTAGGGACAGCTTGATGGAGGAGGGGTTGTTATGCATGTCACCTCACGGTGTTGTTTCTCCTTAGGCAGCCGTGGCAGCGATGCTTGAGAGGGGCCTATGGAGCGCGTTTACATAATCAACCGGAAAGCTCTTTTCCACGTTGGTCTGTGCCCAAGGGCTGACAAGCAAGCCAGAAATCACTCTGGTTTGTGTTTCTGTAGTTCTTGAAGATGTTTAAAGATGGACACTCCTCCAGATGATTTCTGCCATTTGCTATGGGGATCATCAAATCTGAGCAAGCTGCAGAGCTCTAGGGTAAGGATCAGACGTGCATGGTAGTTTTTCCAGAGAAAATGCTTGCCAACCTTGGCTGATGAAACTAGGCTTAACAGGGACAAGCGCGAGGCAGGCCCCCCGTGAATTACTTTCCGTGGGTTTTAAAAATTGGCTTAGAAATGTTAAATGTTTTTTGTTAAATGACATGTTTCTATAAATCAGAGCCTGCAGGTACCTTTGAGAGAGGCAACCAATGAACACCCGGGTGGAGTCAGTTAATACCACTGCTGTAGACATGAAGGTGAGTTGCTGGATGCTGCTTCAAGGATGGGCTTGCTGGCCAGCTGTGGGGCATGCTGGCATCAGGCAGCCAATAGTCTTCATAGTCTTCTGTGTCTGCCTCAGCTGCAGAGAGACACCTGTCCTGTTGCCCTCAGCCTGAGCAACCCACCTCTAGTGACTGAGATGGAGAGAGGGATAGCCACCTAGCCACTTCTGCCTAAAGGGGCCATCTCTGTTGGATCCTACACTTCTGAGCTCCCAGTTGGGTTGCCTTAGGCTTGTTCGGCCTGCATAGCGATCCTTCTTTTTCCTTTGCCCAATCTGTCTCTGTTTCCTATCCTTCACAGGTGTTTATCCAAAATTCACTTTAGTATCTGCTTTTGGGAAACACTGCAACAATCCATTCATCTTTTCTGCTTGGAAAACAGTAGAAAAAGAGGTAATTGGCCCCGCAAAGTAAATGGCTAAAAGCCTTTTCAGAAAACATACCTTTTTAACAATTTTTATATGAGAGAGGAAAAGATTACATTTACAAATATTTTACAGTCTCAGGAAAGAAAAATTACCTAGTATTAATACCATAAAAGTAGTTAGTTATATAGTAAGTTGACTCTTAACATAGTTCACTTAAACACTTTTTACAATGGGAAGAAATGTTCCTGAATTCTTGATTTATGAGACTCCAAAAAGTCATGTTCTGAAGGTTTTTACACCCAGTTCCTGATCAATTAATAATCACCCTAAATGTTTTCCCATGTATCTAATTATGCTTTGCAGTTCCATCAACCTTCCTAGCTAGTCTCAAACATACCACAACATTGCCTTGCCCTGGTTGTGGGTGTGGCTACACTTTCCCCTCCTGGGATTTCTTGCATGGGGTATGAGGGGTGGTGCTCTTGGAGAGCAGGAGAGGGATGGATAGAGTGGAGAGGAGAGTGCAGGGCACTCATCCCTGGAGCACCAGCCTCTGCTCTGTTGCCCCAGAAATGTTGTCTCCTGACATGCATCTGGACTTTATCCTTTATTTATCTAATTGGGTAGGTTGTAGGTAGTATGGAATCGAATGGATTGGATCAGGGAAAAAAAAAAATCTGAAGGAATAAGTGACCTCACCTTGAAGGTGCTGCAGAAGTAATGAGCAGAGCTAATGAGGGACTGATCCATGGTGTTGGTAAACTTAATTTGATACTGAGACTGAACACATGCTAGGTATAACCTAAAAAGTAATATTTATATGCAACACATTGGGTTACATGAAATCTGGAAAGTTTGTAATTTAAAAGTTACAGACATAAAGCAATAATTCAGCCCAAGTCAGATTTAGAACTGTTCTTTAATATGAGACTGAGGGATGATATCCTGTATCACACGGGGGCTGAATTTCGAATGAGTGTTAGAGCTAAGATAACATCTTGTTCTTGTCTGTATTTCAAGAACCATTCTTATTAGGACCATCTCCTAAAAGAAAGAAAGCTACATTTAAAAAGATTGAAAGATGAGTCAGTTTTCAGTATTGGAGAATGATGAGAAACCAAATATATTGATTGTGGAAAATTTAGTGAAGGTAGACACCTTAAAAAGTAAGAAAACATTATCAAAAAGAGTTGGTGTTCATTTTTAGGTTTAACCAATCCTATTAATAATATATGGATATACATTTGTCATAAAAATGTTATTTAGGTTTTACTCAGTAAGTTGTGAAAGCTATTTTGCTTACTCCTAATATAGGTCTTAGATTTCATCTCACAGTTAAAAAAAAAGTTGTTACAAACTTCTTACAAAATGAAAATATCCTTTCTCTCAGTGATGATTCAAAACAGTCAATAATATTTTCTCACAATGCCATTAATGGGGTATTCTCAGAACTCTATTTTTAATGCAGATACATTCCCAGTCAATTTGCTTAGCCTCACAATGGGAGGTTTAGACTAAGTGATGTCACTTTAGGTTTACTTACATTGACAGTGCAAATATTTCCTTTGTTGGACATTGGGTTCTCACATCGTCTCCTAAACAAAATATATTGGCTTTGAAATTAGTGGCCTCCATCATGCACTGGTTGGGCTGCTTTGTAAGTCTGTAGTATAAAAGTCCAAAAATATTTGCTTCCAGCCGGCCTGTCTGGAACTAACACTTTTTTTTTCTTTTTTCATTTCACTCTCTGACCTTTTAAAGGGTTTTCTTCTTTATGCTGCCATCAGCTTTCATCTCTGCTGATCATTCTTTCAGCCTATTTCTTCTGGATTTCATTTACCTGTTTGTGTGAATGTTTCTTTTTAGTTTGTTTTTTAATATCTATCGAAAAAAGAAGGACTTCTTATAGTCGTGGTCATTTAAAAGGTTGGTAGTTTATTTAGAGTTCTTAATTGGACTTAATCCATGTTTCACTCCTAGCATTTTATGTAAGATAAATGTTATTGTTCAGACTTATCCTTTCTAAAAGATAGTAGGGCAGCGAGAAAAATGATAAAATTTTTTAGCAACCACCAAATCTCAGAAAAAGTGTTCTTACCAGGTCACCTGGGGATAACCAAGGCAGTTCGGAGAAGATTTTCTTCTGATTGTTTTCCATTTATTTAAGCTTTGTGTATCAATGCTCAGTTTTAAATTCCCATTGAGAATGTTCTCATTTTGTCATAAAACTTCAATTTAGTCTCTTAATTTTTCTCTTGATGTATCATACTAATGTCCAGAGGATTCATTAAGAAACTGTAAAGAGACCCCAGTACTATCTATGTTTATGATCTCCTTTAGAATGTGTTTATCAGATATTTGTGACTCTCTTCATAGCAGTAAAATATTCACATTAAACGAGAGATTACCCAAGGGCTCAAAGGTCCAACATTATCTTGGGTTTTACTTGTCAACAATTTGAAATGTAAGAAAAAAACTGAATGTATGAATGTAATCCTTTATAAAGGACTTGGTCCTCTGGAGTTGAGTGAATACTTCTGAGACAAAAGTACTTTTTCTTTTCCTCCCTATAGGTCGGTAGGACAATGCTTTCCATTAACTTTGATTTTACCACTCCCGATAGTCTGACCTTTATCTTCTAATCCAGTTACATATTCAAATCTCTTCCTTCTATCTACCTTTAGGTGAGCCAACTGAGAGATGAACATTTAAAATGCACACATTCATATTTTGCCATACACTGTTTTTTTTTCTTTATGCTTTATACATCATGAAATTTTCTGGTAAGACTTCAAACATTTCTTGAAGGCTGATATGGCCTGGCTTTGTGTCCCCACTCCAAATCTCATCTCAGGTTGTAATCCTCATGTGTCAAGGGAGGGACCAGGTGGGAGGCAATTGGATCATGGAGCGGTTTCCCCTGTGCTGTTCTCATAGTAGTGAGTGAGTTCTCATGAGATCTGGTGGTTTTTTAAGTGGAGGTTTCCCCTGCTCTCTTTTCTCTCCTGCCACCTTGTGAAGACGTTGCTTTCTTCCCCCTTGCCTTCTGCCATGATTGTTAAGTTTCCTGAGGCCTCCCCAGCCATGCAGACCTGTGAGTCAGTTTCTAAATTATACAGTCTCAGGTATTCTTTATAGCAGTGTGAAAACAGAGTAATACAAAGGCCTATGTATATTTTTAACTTTTTGTTTGGAAATAATTTCAAACATATAGAAGTTACTTGAATAGGAATAGTAGAAAGAATATCAGTTGGCAGGGCGTGGTGGCTCATGCCTATAATCCCAGCACTTTGGGAGGCTGAGGAGGGTGGATCATGAGGTCAAGAGATCGAGACCATCCTGGTCAACCTGGTAAAACCCATCTCTACTAAAAATACAAAAATTAGTTGGGCATGGTGGCGCATGCCTGTAGTCCCAGCTACTCAGGAGGCTGAGGCAGGAAAATTGCTTGAACCCAGAAGGTGGAGGTTGCAGTGAGCCGAGATTGTGCCATTCCACTCCAGCCTGGGTAACGAGCAAAAACTCTGTCTCAAAAAAAAAAAAAAACAAAAAAAGAATATCAGTTAACACTTTACCCAGCTTCTATTGTCAACATTTTAGTCAACTTAATCATTTGTGCACTCTCTGTTCTGTTTCTTTCTCTCTCTACATATGCATATACATGTGCTTGAAGTATATCTACACACATATATATACATACATGTATAATAATGTGTATATAGCACAAAATATTTTGTTTCTACTAAAGAATTTGAGAATAAGTTTTACATATCATGGACTTTTATCCCTAAATAGTTTAGTATTTTTTGTATATAGATATATTCTTATGAATAACTTCCACAGGGAAGTTCTCAATTTCATAAATATAACATTAATACTTTTATCTAATTTACATTTCAGTTGTCTCATGGGCCCAATGTTTGTTATAGCTTCTTTCCTCCAGTACTGGATCCAGTCTAGGGACAGATACTGTACTTAGTTGTCAAGTTTCTTTAATCTCTACAACATTTCCACAGGCTTTTAAATTTTTTTTTTGTCTTTTGTGACACTGACATATTTGAAGACAGAGTCCTCCTGCTTTTTATAAACAGAAGTCTCTGCATTTTGAATTTGTCTGATGTTTCCTCATGATTAGATTCAGGTTCTGCTTTCCTGGGCAGGATATTGCCGTGTGATATTGTGTGCTTCTCAGGCAGCCATGTTTGGAGGCACGTGATGTCTATCTGCCCCTCCCTGGTGACACCAATTTTCATCATACAGTAGAAGTGTTGTCCTATTTCTCCAACAGTAAATAGTTACTATTTTCTCCCTTGCAAATAATGAGTTTGAGGAGAAACACTTTAAGACCACGCAAATATCCTGCTCCTCATTACAATTTCCCCTCAGATTTAGCATCTATTGGGATTCTTACCTGAACCAGTCTTTGCTGTGATGGTTACAAAATGATGAGGATCACTTCAGCACTCTCTCCATATTTACCAGTCAGCATGTGACATTCTACTCTAACCAAGAACCCTGCCTTTTCCTCGTGTATGGCTGACTGCGTCTTAGTCTGTCCCAGCTGCCATAACAAAATACCTTAGACTGGATAGTTTATATATAGTA